AGCTTCTGAAGAGCTCAGACGCCCTACTTGTGCGTTCATATCACCTGCAAGTACTATATTATCTGAACTAGTAGCACTGCGTACTAGTGCGTTCAGTTCGTCATGGAATGTGTCCTTGACAGGATTAGAACTGCAGTTGCTGGGAGCATAAGCGGAAATCGCAAACAAACAGCGTTTTGTACTACTTCGTGAATCTACCTTAGATGCTGTCGTCAAACGGGCTGCACATAAACGGCTGTTCACCGGAATCCAACCAACCAACGATGGCACAGCCTTGGAGCTGAGAATGATACCTACGCCAGCTTGACCCGTGAGTGCTGCATCGGTGTCTCCGGATACTTGCGACCAATAACGAGAAGATAAGCCGGGTGCATTTAATTCAATAACCCTGTCAGGGTCATTGATCCCAGTTTCGGAAACACACAACACACATCAATACCCAGCGTGTCCAAAGTGCGTACGAGTGCAACCTATTGACCTGTTTGTCTTAGAGTGCGGACGTTGATCGTCGCCATGGAAACGGGACAGCGTGGTCTTATAAGGGACTTTTGCCGATAGGTGCTTGGTGATGATGGTTGCGGGTGGTTCTACTCCAGTGGCACTTCGGTTGCTGTCAATTAAGCTGGGAATTATAGAAGGAAGGTTAGTAATAGGGACCGGGATGGGAGTAAGAGAAAAAGGTGGAAAAGTAAGAAGGGAGGCGCCAGCAGTAACATGTTTTCGCTTATCCGCCCTGCTGTATGCAGCAGATAAGGCGACCCTTGATAATCTGCGCGACGGTCGATGCAGGATGAAGTTTATGTTTGAAGAAAATGTCATGGGTGTATGTGGGCTGAGATACTGCCATGGCGCCCAGACCTAGACAGGAGGACGATTAGGGTCCTCATCCAAAGCCTTTGGCTCAAAAGCCTGTCCGCAAGGCAGCGTGGAGGTGGCAATGATTTAGTTTTACAGAAATGGACGCCATCCCATTTCAAATCCCCAACCTGGAGGACCAGGAGACTGAATTTGTCTGACATCTCACCATTGACCAATCTGGTAGGAGTAGCTCTCAAGGTGCCGGAGGCATCACCCAGTATAGCTCAATGGGTCAATGAGGTACGCAAACCGTCGCACCACGTTAAGGTCCAGTCTTGTTGCGACGGTACCCGAAGCAACTTAATCCATTGAGCTTATCGGGCTAGTGAGGGGATTGTGGTGACTTGTCTTGAGTGTCACGATACCAGAAAATGTTGGTGTACGCCGGCCTTGTGTTAAGGGCAGTGTGGCTACATTCATTGCTTTTCTGTGGTTGGAAAATCTCGCTGTCCAGTATTTGAATTCGGGTAAGCCGACCTACTTCGGTGTAGCGCAGAAGTTGATTCCATTCGCTACCGGTGTGTCAACGGAAGATCTGTAAAAATCGGAATTTGTGTATCGAAAGTTTGTGACATCGATAGCCAATTACATCGTTACAGGTCCGGCGATCTAGCACATACTACTATCGTGACACATCTTCCACATAAAACTGTTCAGTTTTGAATTACAGGTATCTTTCACCCTCTTGTTTACGTATCCCAGTTAGAGAGCATCTGCTTTATCAACTTTCACTCAAGTTGCTTGCATAGCGCACAGTCTGACCTCTGCGCTTTGGGACAGTCTACACGTTGGTATCCCTTTTGAGCACTACACCCAGTTTGTTTTCGTAAATCGTTCTGGAACTTACCCACCTTAATGTAAATTTCTCAGCAATCACTGTGCTCGACTATGGGGCTGCCGGTTAGTGTATTCAGTACTCAGTGCTCGGCCATAGTCACTGGATTATGCAATCACAGATTTGACCATTGGTGCATTTCCTTCATTTTGGAAGGTACCGTGCATGAGTCATAGGGAGGGAACCAACCTTTGTGACGATTGCTTTTTCAGTCCACCGCTACTTGCGTTCTCCATTCACTGATCACGGTTTTTGCTTAAGGGTTAGATCACTATCTGACCACTTTGCCGTCTATCGTATGCGTCTGAATGACGATAGCACTATTCGTACTCTACTGGGGCAATGGTGTTTGCAGATTAATTGTACAAGGCGAGTCATCGAACTTCTATGGGTGATATTCCCGTGAACTATACTCATCACAGTCTCCGTTAATCATTTTCTTGCAGTCCGCTGTCAACATGCGCGTGTAGAGCTATTTGACTTTTTAAGTTCAGCGACTTCGTTGACATACGTTATTATGCTCATCTTTTTTTATTCTCTGCGGTTTGGGGGTGCAGATCATAGATCGCTTCCATCCTGAGTCTTTTCGCCTTCCCACAAGCACACAAAACTTGAAAACGATTGTACACAATGATCTTTTTGACATTTTCAGATAGCTTTTAGCTACGTCATTGTGCCGATTATGTGCGGAATCTGAACTAATGCACGCTTAACCCTCAGGCATTGAATGGAGTCTCACAGAAACGGCTCCGTATAACTTCTTAGGCACTCAGACCAATTTCAAGATACTCACTGAGAGTAATCTCGAAGATATATATATATATATATATATATATATATATATATATATATATATATATATTATGTGGTTGGCGGCATCCGGTTTCGGATTCGTCTGTCACTGTGGCCAGCCACAGGACGCTTACACTTACAGAGGGACCGTGGATGGCTTGCGCTGCACCAACTACAGCTCCAACCACACACCCCATATCCAGTGTAAACCCGAAGGAATAAGACCAGGAGGCATGCGGATGGGAGCCACGTTTCATCAACGGAGCCGGCCCACACTCCTTCACAGGCAAACACAAGCACGCTGTATTTGGGGAATCAAGCGCACACAAGGCGGTGGCTGGACCGTAGTCCGCTCCACACTGAGTACATGGAACCACTCTTTGAGCCTAGCACGACCACAATGACCGTGCACCCCGTCCCCTCTAGCAACGACCAACTGTCTCCTGGAGCCAGTATGGATGAGGTAGTGGATAATAGACAGGTAGGCACCGTGTCAACATGCACCTCAAGCGCAGTCACACCTGAGATGTCAAACAACAGCCAATCGTTCCAAATGCCAGTATCATATAAAAGATATCCAGTAAAATAAATCCATAAGACGACTTAAATACTCGCTAAATTAGCATATGGAGTAAATTGGTTATATCGAATCCGCGAAAATTACAAAATGTCCGACGGTTATTTAAAAATTGCCGTGTGCTCAAGTTACGCAAGGTTACCGCAAATAACAGGAGCGGCGTGGGCAAATTCCAGAAGATTATCAAGTACACAGAGCAAACTAAACAAAGTGGAATTACTTTTATCCACATTAACAAGACTTAGTTTAAGTGTAAGTTGATTTAGCCCAACTGCGATGAAGAAGCATCATGAATGCTACATCAGCCTCAGCATGGGCACATGTTTATATATATATATATATATATATATATATATATATATCGGTAACTTTGTTGCGCTTGTATCGTTTTTAAGTAAGTTGTCTACATTTTTCCTTATCGCGGATTCGTTGCTAACCTGCTTCCTTCATATGCTAATTTAGCGAAGAGTTATGCCACCGGATCTGTATGCATTATTGGATTTGTTTTATTTCATCTTGCCGTTTCGAGTGATTGGATGTTGCTTGTTATCCCCAGTGTGACTGTGCTTGATGTGCATGTTGACAAGGTGCCTACCTGTCTGTTACCCACTACCTCGTCCATACTGGCTCTAGGAGACAGTTGGCCGTTGCTGGAAGGGACGGGGTGCACGGTCCTTGTGGCCGTGCTAGGCTCGAGGAGCGGTTCCATGCACTCAGTGTGGAGCGGACTACGGTCTAGCCACCGCCTTGTGTGCGCTTGATACCCTAGATACAGTGTGCTTGTGTTTGCCTGTGAAGGATTGTGAGCCGGCTCCGTTGATGAAACGTGGCTCCCATCCACATGCCTCCCGGTCTTATTCCTTCGGGTTTACACTGGATATGGGGTGTGTGGTGCAGCGCAAGCCACCCATGGCCCTTCTGTGTGCGCAGGCGTCCTGTGGATGGCCACAGTGACAGACGAATCCGAAACCGGATGCCGCCAACCATATTTATGGATCCAAGGGTTGCAGGACAGCGTTCATTCGCACTGAGAATCCATGCTGCGGTGTGTGTACCTGAATGGCCGTGTGTCATCAACGAAGGCAAGGTGGAGTGCTAATGTGGAAGTCTCATGTTTAACGTGTTTGCATTGTACCAGGTCCTTTATCGCCACGCAAACCAGGTGCGTCCGACATTGTATTGGCCTGCGGTGCCGAAAATATTTGGACTACTTTCTGGCCTGCTGGTAGAAAGCCTTAGCTTGCCGAGGTAGTTTGCGGCGGCTGCGATTCATCAATTGATGAATTTGAGTTCTGTGGCTTTGGGATCGCATCAATATTACTTCATGAATGTAGGCGTACTGATAGGGTCGTAATCTCATTTTAGTACTGTATGCGGTCTTACGATGTCACTACTGTGTCGAGAAAGGCGTTTGCGACAATACGCTAAAACTGTTGAACAGTACCGAAGTGGGCCCCGAGTTGCTCAATATTACATGAAATGGGGCTTTTTTAGGCTAAAAGACTGTTTCGACCTCGCTCAACCGTTTTCAATTTGATCATAATTGTGTTTTTTGAGCCGTATAGACATGCCATTACTAGATATTTCAATACTGCTTGTGTCTCCTCTCATTTTTGTGCTATGTTTTCGCGGCTGTGTAGTTAGTACGTTATTTTGTTAGGTATCGTTGACCTATGACTTCATCGGTCTTGGGTTAGCTATTTTTGACCGCCTAAATTACTCCTTGTTTTTTATGATTTAGGTCGTGGCAGCGGTGTACCTGTGCAGAATACTGCTGCGTTGTTGTTGTTGTTGTTGGCAGCGCTGCTGATGTTACATGGACTGCCGTTAGGTTTCATTACCCTCTTGTTTTCCCAACCATGCCCACTATTACTATCATTTCATTTGACATCTCTGTTGATCTGTTATCATCTACCCTACATCGCATCCATTTGTCAGCATGAGGCGTCAACAATTGATGGCCCCCGAGTCGGACCGAATCCATTCGGGTGCTCTCAATTTCGCCGTTTCCGCCCTGCTCACCGCATTTGTCTCCATCGAACTTTCTCCGGGTACTGGGGCAATTGGGAGCGCTGGAACCGCTGCAGATTATCTAGTCGCGGCCGCTTCCTCTTCTTCACAAGACAATAGGACTAACGAAAGGAACCTTACTCAGAGTGAATCATCGTCATCTGGTGCGACAGTCGATCCTCAAACGGCCACTGTTGGTTTTGAGGAGAAGTTTCATTATCGTCGACCAATGTACGCTTGTCTCCGATATTGGCATGGGAATGCTTTTTACGATTCGCAGTTTCGGGTAGGTAAATAGAGAAACAAAACATTACAAAATTGAGATTAATCGTGATTTGTTCCCTCTCCGTTTTCATATCAATGTAATTTTTCAATGGAATTATCCTCTGTAACCCACGTCCACTTAGTGTAATCTTTGATGTTATTTTCCATGTGATTCTCCTTTTCGACGTCATCCGCTGGTCCGATTGTGCACCTATGCCTATAGTTGTTGCCATCCTTAATCCAACATCAGTGTCATAGTTTAGTTTAATGCATAACCTGTATGCTGTGTCGAAATGTAATCGCTATATCCTCTCTGGTGTAGCTGCACCGTCAATCTGTGTGTCAGTTAGACCACCACTTCACTCTTGTTCGTTCCATTTGCTTACACGGTTTATTACGTTTTTCCGTAACACCATGATCCAGTATACTTTCACTTTTTCTCTAACGAGTTGTGCTGAAACTATTACTACATAGGAGGTCTGAACATAACTCTTTAACCTAGCCTCCTATGCAGTGATTGTTATATCGGGTACTATCTGAACACCCATTGGGGTGACGGAGAGTGATACTTCTTTTGATTGCGCTTTCATGGGTTAACACGATAGGGCGGATTTCTGGGCTGGACTCATTTGTTTGTAAGTAGTTGGGGGGTTATAAGGTTGTTAGGTAGGTTCGTCACAGTTAGATACAGGCAGACAGCCACCACACATCCAGAAAAGCGCTAGGAGGCCGTTTCGTCCTATTGGGACTCGTCAGTAGCGCGCACCCGCCTGGCTGGCCCCCAGAGCAACGACTTCCTTTTCTAGCCGCCACCAATCGAGGTGGCATGTAAGCTGTTAAGGCGACTACTAGGTTGGGCCAGCCCTGTCCTCTGCACATTCATAACGTGCAAGACATTGGAGGATGAGCCGCGCTATATCGAAGTTAGATGTCAGTCATGGCGGTCCGCTGCCGTCGCCCATGGCTCAGTGACATTAGTCGCTGACTCGCAAGAGTAAGGTCGTGGGTTCGAATCCGGCAGGATTCGGTTGGTGCGCGCTACTGACGAGTTCCAATAGGACGAAACTGCCGCTTAACGTTCTCCTGGATGTGTGGTGGCTGTCTACCTGTATCTAACTGTGATGAACTCAGTTATAACTTTTATCTATTCCGCTTACTAATACTAAAGGTTTCGTGTTGATTGCACCAATAATGATGGTTGCACCCGAACTCTTGTTTGGTATCCCAGCTTTGATTCTTGCTAGACTGAATCCTTTCCGGCTGATCACCTTCTCCCGAACAACCATCTGTACACGACCATTTTACCAGCGTCAATCGAGAAAAGCATAAATGCAGTTTGTCTGTACTTGCTTCCTACGCTCTGCGTGACTGCAGTTCCCATGTTGCAGCACTTCTACCGCGAAGGCCACTTCTTAGTGCAACTGGTTCAGTTATAGCTCCTTAGGCTATGAATATACGATCAGTACGTCTAAACACTTTGTACCATCTATTAGTTTGATAAAATTTAATTCTTGCAGTCAGATAGTGTAATCCGCATGGTGGAAGAACAAGTAGTTTTACAGCCAGAATGCGACTTTCTAGTTCCAAATTTTAACCTGTGATGTGTGGTAGGTGTTCATCGATTTACTAGGCCTATCGGACTGAGGTGACTGCTCCGTTTTGTTTAAGATTCTTGCCATGTACTGTATTCCTATGAAGTATGCCAACATTTTACAAGTGGTCTTGAAAATCGTTGGACACACCAAGCTCTGTGATGTTCTCGGACACCTTCCTGCCTGCACATGGATACCTGCAGGTTCCTGTTTTTATGTTTCCGCTTTACCTATCTAGTTCATCGCGGCTTTCATCCTGGAGTGCTCTTCTCTGCAAGAGCCGATGTTGCGTATACTAGGTTTGTTTTTGGACAACTTCTTGATGTGGATTATGCTGATGACTGCATCTTGCTATCTAACAATCACGATGTGGGACGTAGGGTTTTAACTTTAAATACAAGAAACTGAGGATAGTCGATTCACTCAACTACCTTTGTGCCTGCGTTATCAGTTACCTGCGTTTTGGTTGCCAAAACTAGTAAACACGTTGAAGATGCTGAAGCTATTGCGATAGCTATTCCTCCACTTGAGAACCTCCCCGATTCACATTAGAAGGGCTACACTGTGATCTGTACTTCTGAATGATTATGGAATTGCTCCTCTTTAGATTGTGAATCTCGAGCATCTTCTGCACGTTGTACCTTTACATCCATAGCACAGTTCTTTTTAATTGACATCAACGCGTCCGCAGCCATTAGGTGCACGGGTGAGCGCTAGTTTATGATAAGACGCTTCGCTTATTGAATACACACACACATACCGAGTACATCGCGTCACATCGCTCCTGCGCTGCTCGTTCTTTCACGTACTACGTCTGGGGGCTGTAGATTTCAAAATTCATGTATTCTCGGGGGATACTCGTCGACTGTACACAACAAATAAGATTGCAGACCCTCTTCGCAACTTGCTTTTTGAAATGAGTATGGCGTTGTAGCATTCATTGGGTAACAGTACTGATGATATGCGGAACATTAGAAATCAAAAGGATGCTGTCTCGCTGATGTCAACTTATCGTTGCACGATCATCTGCTGTTTTCAACCCTTTGGTGTTGACCAGGTGTACGCACATTGACATCCGATGTCCGTCTAAGGTTTTCGTGTCCCCCACTTAATCGCTGCTTATGGCGCATCGAATGCAGTGCTTCTATGCCCTCGGATGGTCGTTGGCGCTAGTGTGGATCGTCTTATGCCGTTTGAGAGATAAGCTTAACTCAGCTGATGGCTCGAACAGGACAGCACCACGTTGTACCACTGTATGGCTTTATTCGTGTTCATTATGTTACTGGAGGCATCAAAAGGTGCAGTCCGTGCATCTTCTGTCTCTCTAATGCGCCTTAAGGATCACAAGCCTGCCTTGTAATCCGAGGGCGCGGGTTCGAACCTTCCTAGGGATCGGGCGACCCTCGCAATATCCTTAGCCCATGTGGGACTGGTGATGGTTGCGCGACAGCGAATTGGCGGTACTGCGTACTGCTGAGCCTTTCTTCTTCTTTATGTGTCACTCATCAAAAATCGCGGTGACTACCAATTGTTCTCATCAATACCTGATCTGCGTGACATGAAGTATAGCAATCCAAGTAAATTGTTCTGGGTTTCTTTTGCCCACTGGCGTATACTATTTACTTCGCAGTCTTATCTTCCCAGAACTCTAGCAAGTCGGAAAATTGACCGCAGCCATCATCTTGTGCGGCGTCGCTACAGTGTCATCTGCTGTGTAAGCCAACTGAAGTAGTTCTCACAATAACGCTCGATGGTCTTGTAGCCAAGTCTATACAGATGTGCTCACTGGCTACCCTAATAAATGCGGTATTCCCTCCGTTATCATGCTGAAGATGCGCTACTTTCCGACCGTATCAATATCATCATGCGACTAGCTCGTGGCCTCTGAATCGGTGTGCGTGCCTGCCTCCATGTATAGGGGTGTAACCATTTTCGTCCACAACTCATGGTGGCCTCCCGAGCAAAACGTACTGCGTTTTCTGTTTGTTCGTTTTCGTTACTTCGTTGTCCCCGCCGATTTCTTCCACTCAACTGCATCTTCCTTCCACATTTCTCGCCCGTTTCGTTTGACATTCGGGCTTATACTGGCTGCTGCTTTGATCGTGATTTAGATTACTGGTTTAGTGTCTGTCTCATTTTTGAACGTTCTGCTCCTTTGTACTCAGAAACCTTGCAAACTCTTCTCTAACATCAAACACGCCCACTCTGCTCTATGTCCCATTTTAACAGTCCCTGGAATCCGAGGCGCTTGCCCACATCGATGATGCCACTCCGCCATTGTTTCTACAGTTTCTCTCCCTACTCGTGAATGACGCCATTTTCCTTCTGGATGAGGCAATCATCTTGTTGGCTCAGTTGAAACAGAAGGAGCGAGAAAGAGAAGCTGCTGGTGGACGGTAAGATCGGGCATTTTAAGCTCTTCGATTTTCATACACATTTTCCAACCACTTTTACTGCTCACATGTACTGTGGCGACCATTCTGACGAAGGATTTTCGGCAAAATTAGTCGTTCACTCATGGTGCGTTGCACTTCTACGATCTTAACTACCCCACAACGAGAGTTGCTTTCTATTCATTTGAGACAACGTTTTCGGTCTGTGCGTCATCGTCGTTCGCAGAGCATTCCTGGTGCCAACTGACATCAGCTTGCCCTCAACGACGATGGACGCAGGCAAGTGCTAAGCGGTGATAATCATCTTACTTTTTCATAACACTAGTGGCGCATTTATTGACATCCCCTAGTAAACCGCCTGTTTAAATTGTCTCTAATGCTAAGTTACCCGTAGAATAAAATTACTTACGACGTTAAGTAATAAAGGCTCGCAATTATCGCACTAAAGCATGCTATTTGTGCTCATAAGTAGACAAGTTGTCAGCACCTTAGTCCTGAACGTTCGCCTAGATCACTTAGATTGTACATCTGGAGTCTTTTTTCCGCCCTTATTATTCAGCATTTCCTGTGTCGCCGCAGTTGTACGGCAACGAATCAGCGTTCCAACTTGACGATTTACTGCCGTAACTGTTGTTGTTGTTGTTTGTTTGTTTGTTCCGCTACTACTACTCGCTGGGCTGTTACAGTCATCCGCCTTCCTCCGCTTTCGCAGTTTATGTTCGCTTCGGTGACTGCCACGGCGTGGCCAGGACACCTCCCTTGCTGTGCAAGCGTTATGGGCTTAGTTGACTTGTGGAAGTGCACACTTTACCATGTGTATAGCACGTTCACAGTACAACTCTCACCGGTACGAGGTGTGCCATACGAAGACTGGCGCAAGAGACTAGGACTTAGGGTCGACTACGGGTTGACCTTATCATGAGGCACCGGATGTTAAATTTTGGTGATTATTCCATACTGAGGCCGCTGCTCCATACGCGCACACCAAACGACACACACGAAGACACCGGTACGATCTAGTAGTACCGGATTTGAATCGGGTCGCCCACCAACTCTACTCTGAACGGAGAGTAGTGAATAAATGGAACAATTGCCGCCGCACGTAGTTGAGGCGAAGTCGGTGTCGGAATACAAGAAACTCCTGGACAAACTTTTTCGGCATGAAATATCATGGATACTTTCTAGTCTAAATAGGTCATTTTACCAGAGGGATTTTAGATGCAGCTGCACAGTGGTATCTTCTTGCTGCTTCCACCCAGTATTCATTATTCTTACCAAGTCCAGTATGTCACTGTTTTGTGTTACTTGGTCACAGTTTCGTGACAGTAACAACAGGGTTGCCGCCTCAAGGATTTTCGCACAAAATTGGTTGACAATTTTCAATGGTTAAATTTACGTTTTTGAATTTGCGCCAAAAACTTATGTGCTTATAAGTGCTAAATGGTGCGCGCAAGATAAGGTTGACGCACAGGTAATATTCGTAGATGACTGTGAATAGTACGGCAGCTTCGTGATACCTTGGGTTACTTTATGACGCACACCCGTTGGTGACAAACCTAATTCGTCCGATGCGGCACCTGACTATTGCTAATGAGTAACCTCTGTCACAGTGTACGTTACTACGCGATTTGACGGACCGCGTCGAAGACGCTAATCACGGGCTGACAGCACACACCGTGTATTGTGACAAGAATCATGTACAGCGCATCAATCATGTAGTTGAGAGCAACGCGCCAATGCGTGAGTGAGTGATTAAGAGACTCATAGGTGCGTGAGCATCTAACTGTCGATATACCACAATGGTCTTCTGTGGCAAGATATTACAATTTTAAGATGTTTCGGGTTGCACCTAGCACTACATCTTACTATGCAATGTGGCCTCTTAGCTTGATTCCACCTGTTACTTTGTATACCACCAAAAGTGGTCTCAAAGTAAAAATTATCGCACAAATGTTATGGTGTGGGTTGCAGACTGCACTAGGATGGTGAGTCTACTTCCTGAATACTGTTTATTTTTACCTAACTTCACTCACTGGTCTATAGTCTTTATCTCAGGCGAGCTAGTATGCAACTCAGAGTACCCTGCTGAGGCTTAGTATCCATCTTATACTGCCCATTACTGTCGCGGTTACCCATCACCCGACTACCCAATTGCAGATTCTCATGAATTTTCTAGATAGAAAATTACGGATAGCCTACTCGAATACTCTCCTTGGATGTTTTCACTCATTTCGCACCACTGTGAAATTATCAACAACTGAGATGTCTCAATTTTCGCAATACGTAGCTGAGCTTGCGCTTGCCGAATCTCTTTTAAAACGCTGACTTATATCCCAGAGCGCCGTCCATAGACTATAGTACTTGCACCACTGGAACTGTTGCTCGATCTCACTCACAAGCTTGCATGCTGTTTTAACAGGGTGATCCGAATTCCGTCAGACCTGTTTCTGTCCCCACCTTTTCAGGTTACCATCACAAGAAGAAGAAGGTCTGTTCATACACACCGGTCGATTGGCTCGTCATCACATAATTCTTGGATTGAACACCATCTCTGCTTTGCGTCGCGTTGTCTCCATTTGCCGGCGGCTGGTCACGCACCCGATCATGGTGGATCGCGTTGCATGCATGCTGAACTACTTCCTCACTCGTCTGGTAAGCTGATTTCATTGCGTCTGTTGCATCGCCGCCGGTTCTTTACACATCACCACCGCAGGGAGAACGCGAAGACGATCCAGGACCGAGTGCACTGCTTCCTTATATAGGGTACAATAGTGCATGATGCAAAGTTGGAACCAACTAACAACATAAGAAACAATGAATAATACGGGAAAATGAGAATTGGTATAAGAACCAGTCAGGTGAGTTCGAGGAAACGGTACCAGCGGAAATGGGTTCCTGAGATGACATCCATTACGAATGACGTAGGCCGGCCACTCAAGGCATAGAAACGATACATGTAAGTACATGGCTAAAGACAAACGGTAACGAAACAAATGCAGGCAACTGAGGATTGTCCCGAATATGTGTGTCCAGTGCGCATCCTCCTAACAGTGTATACCTTCATCCTCTTCTTGCCGAACAACAACTCACCTTTATCAAGAAGTTATTTGTGGCGTTTGGTATTTTCGAGGAGATCTGTGGCTGCCATATCCGACCACATAGTCACCACATATCCCGACAGCCGTTTCGTTTTGTTTCGACCCGTCACCTCATACCCACCTAGTCCTCCTGAATTCAAACCCGTGGCTCTGCGCTCACTAATCAGCCACTGAACTGTAGGGCGGGTCGCCGTGAATTTGATTGCCATGTTTGTGTACCGACATACTGTCTCGGACAGCTTCACCACCAGACCCATGTCCGGAGTGAAAACGATCTGGGTGTTGGGTTTTGTCTTATACTTTATGCTTAGGGCACTGCCGTGTCCCATCATTAGGTGCTAAACTGAAGTCACTGATACTAGTTGTGCCATCATCATCGTCGTCGTCGTCGTCCTCCTCCTCCTCATCGTCGTCATCATCCAAAGGATTACATCAGCCATTTAAACTGATGCTTCGCTGCCATACAACCATGATAACCTACGAAGTGAGAGAAGGACTTACCTGAAAACCTTAATGCCCTAAGCAAACATTCAGGGTCACGGCGCCTACACTATGTGTTAACAACATACCGTCACAAATAGCTGGCTATCGTGCAGAAGTAAGGCGGCATTGGCGAGACAGCTACCTTGCGGCTTTCACTGCCCCGCGTCGTAATCAGCCATTGGCGCGCAGGTAACTCAGCACCAAACAGGCACTCCGAATAGGAGACGGCAGCAAACGCGCCACTGGTGTTCACTGCGAACCATGTCCTATAAAGTCTTGAGTCAAACACAAGGCTGGTCACGTGGACTTCAACCTGGAAGGCGAGATTGACCGACGGCACCGAGTTTTGTCGTCATTGATTTCACTTCCTGCTGCCAAGTCAACTTCTGTCCACCTCGAGCCTTGCGCCACCCTGCATCTGGCAGACTAAACAAAGCCCTCCTAGGTAAGCGGTGACCAGGCATACGTAGCACGTGTCCGAGCCAACGCAACTTATTCAGTGCTATCTGTTGTTCTAGGGAGCTAGCATGATTATCACACTATCTAGTACTCGCCTACGCACATTATCGTTGCGGACACGCTGGTGCCATCTGACACTAGCAATGCTTCGCACACACCGATGATCAAAGACTTGAAGGCGCCTGAGCTCTTCAGATCGAAGGGGCCAAGTCTCACTGTCATAGAGCAGAACGGCCCTCACTGTGGCCTTGTATACACAGCCTTTCAAACGTAGGAAAACTCCCTTCTGTCGCCAAAGATGCCGCAGGTTCAAGAAGGTAGCTCTGGATTTTGCAATATGTGAGCTGACGTCATTTTCTATGCGCCCATCGTTGCTGATGCAGCTGGCAAGATAAGTGAAATGATCAACCACCTCGAGTTCCTCGTTAGTAAGCTTCGAGGGGTCATCAAGTGGCTGGTGGTCCTGCAGCGACACTTTGCACTTTGAAGTTGCGAAGTGCATACCAAATAATGGGACGTAGTACGTGTCCAAGCCAACGCAACTTGTTCAGTGCTATCTGAGAAACTAACATGATTGTCGTTTCCTAGCACTCGCTTGCGCACATAATCATTGCGGAGACGCTGGTGCCACCCGACATGAAAAATGCTCCGCAGACAATGATGATTAAAAAGTTGAAGGCGCCTCAGATCTTCAGACTGCAGGGGCCAAATGTCACTACCATAGAATCGGACGGCCCTCACTGTGGGTTTGTAAACACGGCTTTTCAGATGGAGAGAGACTCCATTCTGACACCACAGATGTCGCGGATTCGCAAAGCATTTCCGGCTTTTTCAGGGGGTAAACCGACTTCAGTCGTTATGTGCCCATCGTTGCTGATGTAGGTGCCAATGTAGGTGAAGTTATCAGCTACCTGGAATTGCTCGCCATCATGGGGTCAAGGGGTCATCAAGTGGCCGCTGTTCCTGCAACAGCACTTCGCGCTTTGAATTTACGAAACGCATGCCATATGATGGACCGCTCTAGATAGGTTATTCATGTTTGATTAGAACGTCCCAACATCATTACGAGTTTTGTCAAATCTTTCACATGCTTCCTAACCTCGGCTTGTGTTTCCATTACTGCACCTCGTTGGGTGAGACTCCAAGCGTAACGAAGTTTGCTGAAAACCAGAGCATGATTGGTGGTTGTCGTTATATTGTTTGACTGCTCGATCTGAAATGTCATGGTTAAGATGCGTGTGGTTTTCTTGCATTCCCATTCTTTCTGACCTCTAACTGCGCCTGACAATTTTATCTAACTTCCTGGATTACCATCATTTGGTTTTGTGGCTGATTTTCGTTTTAAGATTTGTCTGTCGAGTCCTGAATGAGGCGTTGCCAATGATCCCGAAACCAGAATTAGTTTGGATTGCACGGTGCTGATATGGTTGGCGGTATCCAGTTTCGGATTTGCCTGTCACTGTGGCCAGCCACAGGACGCCTGCGCCTACAGAGGGACCATGGGTGGCTTTCGCTGCACCACCCACAGCTCCAACCACACACCCCATATCCAATGTAAACCCGAAGGAATAAGACCGGGAGGCATGTGGATGGGAGCCATGGGAGACAACAGCTTTATGGGTTATAAGCCCACAGCTCGATTGGCGTAGAGCACGAGCGCCACGCATTGTCTCAGACGGTGGGAGGGCACCTTCTGGTTCTTAATGGTTTGCTACTGCCCGCCTCAAGCCAGACATTCCCTGGTCATATTGGTGCAAACCCGATAACACCCATCTGCGTCTGGTCGTGGTCACATGTGTATCCTACTACGGTCGCAAAATGTATAGTAATCGTTCCGGTACATCAGAGGCTGCGTGTGACGGTCGTCAGGCAGATCCCAGTCTGTCTCTGCAATCACATTCTCGAGCTGGATCTGCTCCCTACTGCCTTGTTGGTCAGGCTATTGAGCCAAAGGCTCCGGGCGGAGTCCCTCAAGCAAACCTCCGAAGCACAACCGCCACCTCGCGTGCGATTGCCCACCAATGCAATCGTATGTCTGCGCGCAAAGCACTCAGCATGGGGTGCTGGAACGTGTGGACACTACTGGACCGGAACTCGAGTGATCGCCCCGAGCGATGCACTGCACTCGTCGCAATCTAACTGGCGCGGTACCACATCGATATTGCGGCGCTCAGTGAAACTCGGCTCGCTGAGCAAGGTAACTTGCATGAAGCAGGTTCTGGCTACACATTCTACTTGGTGGGCAACGCCGCCTCAGCACCACGTGATCATGGGTTCGGATTTGCAATATCCGATTGCCTCTATGGCCAGCCTGTTGATGAACCAACAGGCATCAGTGCGCGGCTGCTGCCTGTTCGCCAGCGGCTCGGAAGAGGTAAGTTCGCCACCGATCATGTGTTCTCCTGATGACATGCGTGATCAATTCTACACTGAGCTATCCTGCGTGATACGGTCTGTGCCGAGGAGCGACCGACTATTTCTGCTGGGTGATTTCAACGCGCGCTTTGGGGTTGATGCATCGGTGTGGACAGATGTTATCGTTCCGCATGGCATTGGTTCGGAGAATGCGAACAGTGACAGGTTGCTCTCACGGCTTGACGATCACGAACACTCGGTTTGCATTGAGTGCGAGTGATATAGCGACTTGGACGCACCCACGGAGTGATCACGCTCACCTGCGCGACTATATCATCATACGTCGGCGTGAAGTGCGCATGACACGTGTACTGCGTGGAGCTGAGTGTGGCACTGATCACAAATTAGTGCGAACCAAACTGTACATATATATTCATAAATCTATGTGTTGCACTCCCGCCGTTAATCGGCGTACATTTGACATTCTTTGCCTCGGTACTGTGGCGAAACGTACTGAGCTGGAGAAGACAATGGCTGCACGCCTGTGTAATATGGACTGTATAGCCACAGTGGTCGACTTGTGGCACCACATTCGCGACCAGGTGACAGCTGCTGCCGAGGAGACCATCGGTCGCACAAGCTTTAGGCGGCCTGATTGGTTTGATGAGAACCATGCGACGATTGGCGCATTGGTGTCGGAGAAGAATGCAGCATTTGCTGCACATGTTGCAGACCCCAGTGACTTGGGGAAGAGTAGTCAGTTTCGCAAACTTCGACGGCGACTGACCCGACAGCTCCGTCGCATTAAAAATGCATGGTGGACGGAGAAGGTGAAGCAGATGGAATGCTATGCCGAACGCTGCCAACACAAGGAGTTCTTTGACTCCTTGAAGGCGGTGTATGGACCGAGATTGGAGCGGCTGAGGACGCTGCTCGATGGTACTTCAGGCGCTACCTGCATACAGACTGCAGACATAATGCAGATCTGGCGAAAGCACTTTGACTGTCTCTTGAACAGCCGTTCAGACATCGACTGGCCCACATTGAACGGCCTCAAGCAGCACGATGTGAAGACGAGTCTGGCGGACACGCCGACGCTGGATGAGACGCAGAAAGCACTTGCTCAGCTACGAAACTGCAAGTGTGCCGTACGTGTCTATGAAGAAATTTCCTCAACTGCTTTTGGTCAACCTTCTCTAGAGGAATAATTGCAAATACCTTAGCAAGTAGAAAGTCAGATATCACTGTGTCGCGGACTTCCGGGGCATTGTTCACATCGGCGATGGAACTAACAGTGCTTTGTTTTCCAACATTCTTCGGAGTTGTTTCCCCTTTGGTAACAAGTTTAGCGGCTTGCTCCTCCTTGTAAGCTTTCTTCTAGAGATGTTTCTGGCTGCGAATGTGGTCAACAACGTGGACTTTCGAGATGGATCCACAGTCACTTCACGCGATGCAGAAAACAGTAGTTATTATCCACGTTATCGACGTGGTATTTTCCAGGAAACTCCTTCATTCTGTCCAGGGCAATTTTTCCTCCTACACGTTTTTTCCTTTTCTGAGATGACGTCTGCAAAACACAAAACCTGTTGATTATTGTAAGCAACAACTTCGATTGGTTCTCGAGTAATGGGTCAAACGAAAAAGAAGCCGAGACTGAACTATGGTGCTATTCAAAAAAGATGACAAGTTAGTAATGACTAACCTCACCGTTCTCGCCACTATACTGACAGATGACGACAAATTCGGTGTTTCAGCGAATTAACACGGCCGGTTATATTGCGTCGCCGAGGCGACTGCGCCTCAAGTGCACGGGTGACCGTAATGCGGGGGGGGTGGCGTAGGCCGTCCAGGCTTGCGCAAAAGGTGTGACCGAACAGATTTAATGTACCTGTGGGCAAAGGGTGTTTGTATAACGGACAATGGAATGAGTCCACGGCGTGGGCAGACAGATGGGACATGGTTGTTTGATGGATAAATACATGAGCGATAGGTCTGAGGACAAGCGGACTTGGATATCACATGGTGTAACAGATGGTGGTGATGATACTTCAGAGGAATGTTCCAGTAGTCATCTGACAACGTTAGTATTTCTTCCGAGTAATAATATAGAATAGTGATTCCAACGAATTCATAGTAGCTTTCTTCATGAATTTCACATCTTTTCCGCGATTCCGCGAAATTTTTCATTTTTCGCGACAGCAAATTCCGCAATTTTGCTGCGTTTTGCGGAACATTAGGGTCTTTGATTACACTCGACACAAAAGGAAATGAGGTCGATCGTAGTTTTCTCTGTGGATGAAATGGGGGCATAAATGAGTGCTGAACCACTGGACAAATGCTTGGGCGTATGGAGGATGACATAATGTAAGCGCGCGCGATTGGGTGTATGATAAGATGCGCAAAACGTCCGGGTTTTGTGATGATATGCTTCAGTGCACGAGCGGTCCTGGCTGCCTTGAGTGAATTGAAAAGTACTGTCTAGGTGACAACTGCGTGTGGATGTCAGAAGAATTTTTCTAGCTGTGCGATATTACGCTACTGGCGCAAATACAATTCTTTGCAACGTGATTCAAGGCAGCTGCATTCAGTGCGGTTCCGTTCACGGTTCTTGGCATCCTGGCTAAACTTGCTGGTTTCCTGCTCGGAATGTCGAGTTTGTGAAGCAACCTCGGTTTTTTGAATACCGGTTACTGCCAGTACCGTTACACCTGCGGTCTCCATGGACATCGATTGTTACTGCATTTTGAAATCTATTGATGGGTTTCAGTCACTCGATTTAGGCATGAATTGCGGCGTGGACTCCCGATTGGTCTCACCACTTTTATAAACAACTATTCGTCTCCGAATCTTGGTCAACGCCTACAATTCGCGGTTCAGTACAGCGGTTAAGGCGGATTGTAGTTTACACCACTGCCCATGGAGCTCTCGCCGCCATCAACAATGTCCACTGGATACTTGCTCAGGTGCGAATGCACACAACTAATGCACCACTTTGGATTGTAGGTTTGTTAAAGAATCAAGCACGTGTGGCTTCAGTGCAAACGTAGGAGACACGAACAGATGCGATTGAGTGGACTTGTAGCTACGGCGATCGTGGATGGAGAAATATGGAAGTAGGGCATACGCACAAGCTAGGTGGTACGTCGGCAGATAATGGGGCTACATATAGTCCATATGGTGTGTCTGGGACGCATGGCGCGACCGTGTCCACGACCAGAAGCACTACTGACCGAGTCTGCGTAAACAAGCCAGTGGCGACCAAGGATGTGTCCGTTACAACTTACTCTGGACCCATTCTCAATCACTTCAAATCCTTATTATTCGCTCGGGAGTTTTTTGAAAATTTCCAACCTTGAGCTCACTAATCATCGAGTCCACTTTTTCAGTTTTCACTTGCTTGCCGATCTTCATCAGTTACGGTTCAAGAGATCGAGTTGACCGAGGTTCATTCCAATGCGAGTCTCGGTCCACATTGTGATTGCGCGTCGCAATCCATTCACACAACAAGTGCTACAAAACGACCCCTGCAATTATTGTGACAAGCACTGCTCCCCGTGACTCGGTAGCTTAGGGGTAGAGTTTTCGGCCAACATCCCAAAGGCCCCGGGTTCGTGTACCTACTTCCTCCATCTGATGAGATCAATTTAGTTCGAAACTACTCGTGGAGTGCGATGTTTTGCAGCGAGCAACACCCGATCACCATCTGCTTCGAGTGAAAGTAAGCGTTATATACTCGCATGGATACATGTTCAGCGTGTTACACTATCAGCTACAGATAAACTTAATCAACATCACAAATGAGCAAAGGGTAAACGAATGCCATTCGAACAACGACAGCAACAACATCATAAGGTAAAAACGGTGTTTAAACGAAAATAGCAACGGTCACCTTAAAGACCCCTTCTTGGTTATCGGTGTTTCGCCACCATACAGGCATGTGATTCATCGAAGGAGAGATAATAGGATTTGGATAGAGGTATATAGTGTCAGAAATAAATGCCCTAAGCAGCCGTCCATGGTCAATGCGCCTGCGTCTCGCTTCCACCACATGGTCGTAAACAGCTGGCTGTGGGGCGAAGATAAGTCTGCGTCTTTCACTGTCGCGCCTCCTAAGCAACCTTACTTCACAGTTAACTCACCATCACCCAGGTTGTCCGATTAGGAGGCGGAAATAAGCACCCCTTTCTATCCAACCAATAGTAGGGTCGCGTGAATTACGATTTCGGAGGCGAGACGGATCAAAGACACCCATTTTTCGCGGTTAACTCAACAAGTCTGGCAAACAAACAAACTCCAGCTCGTTAAGCGGCGAGCTGTCGTATGCAGCACATGCGCAACCGGAAGCGCATACAAGGCCACAACATATCAGTGATTGCGGCCACTATCGTAGGCTTCCACTGCCTTGCTTCTCCGGTATAGACGAATCTATGGCTAGCCCAATCGCTTTTGTCCGACTTGCCCTACTCCAGTGATTAGCCGCTTGTATATCCTTTTAATTGGAATTTAGTATTAATTGATCGCAGCAACAGCTATATCCATGCCGTTTTTTTGTCGTTTCTGCGTGCGCTCTTACCGACTCCGAAAACGACCATGAGCTCAGAACCAGCTCTCTTCTCGTAAGCGAATAACCTGCCCATCATGACCTTTTGTATTTTGTACAACGGTGGAAACCTTCATTTGTTCAAGTCAAGGCAAGGATGCATTTTTATGCACTCAGGAGGAGTGAATTAGTTGACTGCGCTTTCTATCACCATGATACGCATAGTTTCGCCTAACACCCTGCGATTGTGACCTTGCCGCATGCAAAACTGATCATAGGACAGTTGTCTGTGAATTGCGCACTCCGCTCTTCCGCTCTATTTTGTTTCATTTGAGCTACCCTCTTTTTCTGCAGGTTGGACCAAAACAGCGCGATCTCACTGTTCGAGACAAAGCAGCTTATGGCTTTCGACCAGATTTGCTGGTGATTGAAATCTGTCAGATTTACTGCTGTCTTTCCATGAATTTAACCAACAACACCGGTAAGTGTCATTCCTTCCGTTGGCGCTTTCACCAAAGTCCCATCGGTTTGCTTCTCTTTCAGAATATTTCACAATATTATGTCGCTGTATTCGCAAATCATTCTACCCTAGTGCTCCTTATTCATTTTTGGCGCCTCTCTTTATATTTCCCTGTATTAAAAGCAGCTCAGATAGGAAGAGCAATTATCTTGGAGCGATTCCCTGTACAGCTGTCCTCTTCTGCTCTCTATTATCTTTGATTTTGCGTTTCAGTACATTTGACCATCCGACATCTCTAAGAATACAGGTTGCGATAAGAATTCGGATTGGATAAGGTTTATTTCTTCCCCATAAATGCCAAGCGTTGCCCGCGGATTTCAGTAGCATAGTGTTCAAGGCGTCAGCTATGAACTATTAAGCTCGGAGTTCCACCCCAACTCAGGCTATCTCCACCTGACGAGTCCAAACCAGGACGAAACCGCGGTCGTGGTATGCCAGTGTTGGGAAGAGCAACACCCAAATATGGCTCGTGTATAGTTTACCGCCGAGTCTACATTTGTCCACAGTTTTGCGCATTTTAGTGCGTTTTGTGGGGATTACCATGTTTTAGTTTTGTCGCAGTCAGATAACCAGCATACATCCGAAGTTACTGGACAGCCGTTTCGTCCTGTTGGAAGACTCGTCAGAAGCGCATCCACTGATTCCAAACAGCTTCGGACCCCTGACTTTTCTTGGCAAGTTAAGACACATGGGTGACAGAAGCTTATCGCCATGACTGATTACTAGTTGCAATATTCTAAATCTCATCCTCTGCCGTCGTGCATGTTGCGACTTGCAGCGAACATGCTTGATCCTCAGAGCCGTGAATTCTTTTGATAGTACATACCAATCGAGGTAGCATGAACGCCGCTCGGGCGCAAATTCGCACTCTCGGTTCTCCACCTCCATATATAAGTAAGCCTGAATTTTATGCAATGGTTTTCTTATCGTCGCGGTTCATTATTCCACTCGGATTGATCTCAGACAGTTTGTTGGATAGGGAGTCAGATAAACTTGATCTCATCAGGCAGGCAAAAGTTTGTGATTTCCCAGCACTTATCCGTTGGGATTTGGAGTTTGCGCGCTACTAGCTCTGCTGATTTAACTTACAGTACCCCCATCATCTCGGGTTGTCGTTGTTCATCGGAAAGACTAACCGTCACGTTCTGGATTTTCATCTGTTAACCCAATTCAAGCATCTCTTTGCCAACTAGATACAAATCCACCAAATCGCGCTGGTGTTTATACCTTGTCGTTTTAGTTGATGTGTTCCGTTTTTTCACTCTGATTATCCTTAGCCTGGTGGGTTTGCATGTCATCAGCCGACTGCGAATAGCGATCGCCGTACGGCTTTTCTCTGGCCTGTTCGCATCGTTCGTACGTTGCAGAGCAGATTTTCCGCGTTTATTATTGTCAACTTCAGTTTCTTTTGCGATTCTGAATTTGGTTATTGTGTATTAGTTTCCTGTCCGTATATCTCACTGGTACTTTTATCGTGTGCTTATCGTTCATTTTATCACCTTTACCATCACATCTGCCATGCTATCAGTAATGACAAAGCTGACTTCCTCTGGTACAGTTGGGCATAGAGCCAATGCTGTTACATGCCTTATGTGTCGTGTGAATTTCCACATTTCATGTATTGGTTTGTCTTTAGAGCGTTTTAAACTACTGCATGAAATTTAGCTTGGCATTGTCCAAATATTAGGCAACAAATGCCAAGCCACTGTTTAGTCACAAACAGCTAAGAAGCCGCGCGAGCCTACAAGACGGGCGAAACGTTCCATAGGGAGGATCTCCATGGGTTCATCCAAGCAAGGGGAAACCCAGCCACCTCTCTGTTCGAACGAGCCCACCTGCACACCGGCCGCAGGCTCTACAGCGCGATGTCCGTCCACCCGTTGCTAGAGACTCAGCTGCTATGCCTGTGTTGCGTCCCACAGACACTAACATACCAGTGCGCGATAGCGCAGGCATTAAAGGCCAAAGAAGAATGCGGCGAATTAGAAAGGAAAAGACAACTGTCAACAACCAACGGAGTTGTAACATGATATTTCACGCTCATCAGTCTCGACGGATGCTAATCCTCAGGATCTTTATGGCCACGGCGTAGATTTTCTGCGGAGCCTGATTGGTACGCTTCTCGACGTGAATGAACAGGGGTTGCGGGTGAAGCAAATCACCCGTCTTGGAAAGAGAGAAAACGGGCCATCTTTGCGAGTCATCTTTGTTAAAGCAACGAGTCCGAGGCTAATGCTATCCCGCCTCCGTAGGCTAAGAGGTCTAAAGATCCGTATTTGTTCCGATTTGAACCTATCGGATAGAGAGAAACTGAAGTCCACTATCGTGGAGTTGAAGCGGCGGACTGAGATTGGAGAAATCAATCTCCACATCGTAAATTTTCGGTTAGCTATGCGGGTCCGCCGAACCCGGATCAACAGATCGATGACGTTTCATGCGTTTCTTCCGGTTCCTATCGCGGCCTGCGCGTAGCCTTCACAAATATTCGTAGTTTAATAAACAAACGTGACGCTATTTCACTTCGTTGTCTCATGTCGTCCGGCCGTACTAGGACTGACCGAAGCTTGGGTAATTCCTGTGTTCACTATCCAGGAAGTCCAGATCAGTGGCTACTGGTGCTTTCGGCGCGACAGACTATCAAACGATCGAGGCGGCGTGCTGTTATACATTCGGTCCTCGCTGGGCGGGAGACTGGTACACACCTACCGTAGCGAAGATGGCTTGTGCGAACAATTATGGTGCTCGATCCGCCTAAGACAGGGTGAACTGTTTGTGGGTGCTGCTTATCGCAGCCCGCGAAGTCGATGCCTGGATTGGTTGCCTCATGCCAGAAATTGTGTCGGCCCCGCTTCCTGCTTATGGGTGATTTTAACTTTCCTCGAACACGGTGGCCTGAGGTTCAACTTCTCCCCGGGCACTGTGAAGTCGAGGCGCAGTTTGCGGAGATGTTATTTGAAACTGGGGCAGCACAACATGTCTGCCAACCGACGCGGGTTACACCCTATCCGCTCCATCGTGCCTGGACCTACTACTAACGAGTTGCGAGCAGCTAGTGACCACTCAATAATATTAGCCAACCTAGAGCTGCTGCTGCCCTACTCGCGTCTGCCTGAGCCGTCCTACAATTATTGGAAGAGCGATTTCAGTGGTCTTAATCGATCCGCCAGTGAAGTAGACTCGTCGCTGCTGCAGGATTCATCTGTTGCATCTGTTGGCCTGTTATAAAAGAGGGTGTGCAATCGTTCTGCGCTCGTTTCCTACTCCTCAAGTATCGGAAAGCTGGAACAATGAAGCCAGGTTGGTTCGATAGAGTGTAGTCAGTTAGCACGACGGCGACGCGAATTGTGGAATAAATTTCTCGTGTCTGGCTCTGCCGACGATTATGAGGCGTGCGAAAGGCAACGGAATCTATGCAACTGTGCAAAAGCGTGATAGCATCGACAGTTCGAAGAGGAGCTTGCAAACTTTGTGAAGACGGCCCTCAAGAAGATTTCTGCTTACGTAAATCGGCACCTGAGGCCCGCAAGTGAGGTAGCTGTGTTAGATGGCACTGACGGACAACCTCTGGCCTCCAGCACTGAACGTGCATCCGCTTTGGCGGAGCACTTCTCTTCCGTGTATACAAGTGGGCATGCGCCTATGCCGATGTCGACGTGTGCTTCGCCTACTGAACTCGAGGGCCTTGATTGCGGTGTAGATGATGTCTGCAGTCTTGATAACACAAAACCTGCCGGACGCGATGTACGTCACTCGCTAATTTTGTAGTCCTTATCGGCCATCATCTCGCCTGCCGTGACGGATCTGTTCGACAGATCACTGTCCGAGGGTGCATCGCCGAGCGACTGGAAATGCTTGGTAACGAAGCCGATTCCAAAAGGTGGTGACCCACGCAATATGGACAATTACCGGCCGATTCGTCTCACCTATTTTGGCGTGGGTTTTCGAGAAGATTGGGAAAGAGAGTCTTCTGCAGTTGCTGGAGTCAAAAAATCTCCTAGCACCTGTACAGCACGGCTTCATGAAGGGCCGCTTGTGCATCACCAACCTGCTGTTGACGCGGCAGGAATGGTTGCAAGCGTTGAATCGGGGTAAGTCAGTGGATGTTATCTACATTGATTTCAGTAAGCTTTCGATAAAGTGAACCATGAGGTCCTGCTCCACAAGCTGAGGATGTGTGGTGTTGGTGGCGCACTGCACCAGTGGATTAGTGACTTCCTTATTGGGAGAAGGTGACGGGTTCAGATGGATGACCACCTAACGGAATGGTACCCGTCCACTAGCGGCGTACCCCAAGACACAGTACTGGGGCCCATTTTATTCCTGATCCACATCAAGCTCAGCTTCTTCGGTCGCCCTGCGTTTTATTTGTGGATGACTTGAAAATTTTGGAGGATTATTGATTCTCCCGGCGACTGTGACGTCCTTCAGCAGGCCCTCGACTGGTGGTCTGCAGTAGTTGAGCTACCGGTCAACATGGCCAAGTCCTCGTTTATGAGCCTGAGAAGGGGTGGTAACGCTCTTGCGTACATCCTGGCTATCCACCTGCCGCACCACACCAGTTCCGTAAAGGATATAGGCGTACTGTCACTATGATATGAAGTCTGCCGACAACACGAACAAACTGTACGCAAACGAACTACCCCTGCCTTGGGCACTTAGACGCAGCTTCTGCACTTGGCCTGAAGAGACTGCCACCGGTCTGTTCTCTTCCTTACTAAGACCGGTACTTGAATACGCCTTACCCGTCTATTGCCAGATCACAATAGGTCAGGTACAGAGACGGAAACGGGTCCAGCATGTAACTGCCGGGCTCGTCCCCAGCTTATGGTTATGTCGTACGAGAACCGATGCAGGAGACTAGGGCTTTATACCCTGTCATATCGTCGGCTTCGAGTTGATCTCATTATGACGCACCGGATACTGCATCTGGGCCACTTTCCTATGTTGAAGCCGCTGCTGCA